TTCCTACTCCTTCTAATCCTACTCAGTTTCCTTCTATTCCTCTTCATATTACTCTTACTCATATTCATACTAAAACTAAAACTACTTCGTAATCAGGATTTTCGGCATTATTATTTCGGGGGCCCTGAAAATCGAGATTGATCAATCAAGGGGGGGCGGTTTGTTAATGCGAAGTAAACATTATGTACGACTCCCTAGCTGTAATGTGGTAGGTTGTCAAAATGATGATCCCTTTTGGGTATCCTGATGGCCCTTTTTGTGCTGCACTTGATTCGCAGTTCCTACGTGCCTCCGTCATGGGAGCGTAGCATATAAGCAGCCTCAAATCAAGCTTTTCTGATCAAGTATATGTTATGCCTGGGCTTGAATCCCAAGACTTGAAAAACCCGTCCCCATGCAGCCCTGTCTCACTGTTCGCTCCCCGGATGCATTCCCAAAACACGAACAAGGGAGCCCCTCATTGCCGTAGAGGTGTCCAGAGAGGGTCTCATGATTGGAGGCACCCCTGTGCCACATAAGCTTGACTTCAAAGAAACCTTTATATAACTCATATAACCCTTTCCTTAACCCTTTACAATATGTAGGTTTCCTAACCCAGCAGCAGTCTCAAATTTGGAAAAAAGAGCCTTGGCGTGCCGTTGCCCCCGGGGTGCTTCGTTTTCATCGTCTCGTCGAAGGGGCACTCCCCAAAGCAAAGCCCGCCAACGCTTGCAAGGAAGACTATATAGGGCTTAGGGTTTGGGGTTTAGGGTGTATATGCACTTCGCCATAGTTCTCGTTACCTGTATGGGAGTCGAAAAACTTGCTCTTGGATTTGGATAACAAGGTCTGGATCTCTCAAGGTCCAAGATCCAGGAACCCAGGAATGTATAAGAAGCTTCTGGTGGCTGAAGCCGCTGCAAGACTATTCCCTCATGTACATTATCAGTTAGGTGGACTCCCCACCCAGCACAAGTGACTACAGGGGTTAACGATGGTTATCTTATGGTCCTCTTATATTCCTTTTATACCGCTATTACAGGGTGGGTGATCCACCTAAATGATAATTATCAAAATTAGTCTGTGCGAATGTACCCAGAAATCCTTCCATGCCTATTATAAAGTCAATAACACTTTATAGGAATAGTACCCCGGCAGTGGAGAATCAAATGTAATAAGGCGCTTAAGTACTTATCCAGAATGTAAAGGGAAATCAGCTGGAACACAACATGGAAACTACTGTAGGGCTTAGGGAGTTCCATCAACAGGTAACATAATCACGGCGAACTTTGCACCCTAAATCCCTACACCCGAAACGCCTAATCCTAAACCCTAATACTACCAAGCTGCAAGGATCAAGGAGTAAATCAGCAAGGGCAGGAAGTCGTCGGCTGAAAGGGGGCGGCTGGCACCGCCTTTCAGCGGCTATTTGGGCTTCTGCGATGTGGCTCGCAGCTTCTACGCTTTTGTATGACAACCGTACAAGCAATAGCAGCAGAAAAAGCATGCCGGCTTCAGGAGCGGCTTTTTTGTCATCCAAGTGTTTGTCTTTATCCTCTACGAAGATTGTATAGGGGATATACAGAGGGGTACACGGGATATTCAGGGTTACATTATATAGATTATATATGGGAGTCTCTTTGCAAGCGCGAAATCCAGCAGCTGGCCCGAGATGCGGACTTGCCACAATGGCACGCTTCAGCACGTCGTTGATCTCAGCGTTGACATGTGGCTCTGGCCAAACAGTTGGAACAATTAACATAGGTGTGTGTATTATGAAGCACTATGCTGTCTGATGATACTTTTCAGGGACCATAGGATATTACTGGATGTAGCTTGGGTTCTCAACTAACTCCCTCGCCACCCGAGGTGTGAAACACCTTTGCGGCTGGCAAACTTCCCTAACCATGTCTCTGAGAATCGTATGAGTGGACGGTCGGGCCCAAATTTTTGATCGATTCGCTGTTGGAACGGGGCCCTTTAGGGGGCTGGACTGGCAGTAGAACTCTGTACCACATCCAGCAGTATTGGCTTTTGCACTCCACATGTCCTTCTAAGCTTGTTTAAGCCTCAACTGAAACCCAGAAGCTTGTAATGCAGTATTTGAGTGCACAATCACGAAGAGTTGCGCGCTTGAAGGAGACTTGCCATTCAGTGCGTATTCATCGCCACTTGTTGCCCCCAACATACACTACGCTGAACTGGGACAATATGACATTCGGCGTCTGCCCTCCAAACCCTGGGTTCATGACCATGTGAACGAGCCCTGTATTGCACTTCTTGATCCTCCCATCCAATATAGCCCTTACATAGTCCCCCAGGCCCCCTTAAACCCTGAATCCTCCTAGCCCCAAATCCTAAACCCACTCTGATCCTAAACCCTAAGCCCGAAACCCTAAGCCCTAAAACCTAAATCCTAAACCCTACGCCTCAAACCCTAAATCCTAAACCCTGAACCCTAAATTCTAAACACTACATCCTAAACCCTAAGCAATGTGAGTGTTTCAGCCTACCAAGGTCCAGGCCACGCGGCAGGAGTTTAGGATGCAAACCATCTTGTCCCGCGGCGCCTGCCAGAAATGATAACCTTATGGTATAGGGTTAGGATTTAGGATTTATGGTTTAGGATTTAGGGTTTAGGATTTAGGATTGCAGGAATCTATGTTTGGATTTGTAGAAGTGGGGAATTTTGGGGGGTTTAAAGCTTAGGGTTTAGGGGTGTCATACTGTTGATAAACAAAAGCCTGCTGACCTTAGCATATTAAGCTTCTCATAAGTCCTAGGCTGAAAGATACGGCACTCACGTAGTAAACACACCCCAGTATGACGCAATTACGTGTCTTGCTACTAGGAGCGACTTACATTCTCAGTGGGAGCTGACAAATAAAAAGGTGTGGATGATTGGAGGTCGCCTTATAGGAGTTCTCGAGAAACCTTTAGGCGTGCGGCGCCAATGCCGCTACCTCGAGGAAAACCTAAACCATAAATCCTCATCATACTCCCAAACTAGCACCACACCAATATGGGGAGCTCAGGAGAGAACCCAGCATTGCTGAGCTCCCCTGTACCCAGGCTCCAGCTATATCCCGAAAAAATCCCTACAACGCCCAAGCACACATGTTCTCAGCAGGACTCAGAATGCCAAACCTAAAGCCATCTTGAGGGACTACTATTCATGCAGGCAATCGCGCACCACTCTAAGTTGCCTAAATCCTAGTTATTACAGCAATTTAGGCTCCCTAGATGCTACAACACTTCCTTCATCAACTGGACATCGTGTTCTCCGGCCTTGAACTTGTCCAAGCTATGCAGCTGCTCCACTGCTAAGTCTAGGAGTGAGGTGTCCACCTCAGTGTGATAGGTCATAGGGTTTAGGGTCATGTCTGTGGTCAAGGGCAGTGGGTGATGGTTCAGGGACTGCTGCTGCTGACAGTCTTGTTGCTACGACTTGGTTTGAGGGTGTTCAGCAAATTGGGTTGGGCTTATTGGTTTGGGTCTTACTCGGCTCACGGTTAGTTTTGCTTCAGTTATGGGGGCAAACTGTTCGTGGCTGGTCAAGGTGTCTTTGCAGCGCTTTATATTATATTCCCTCCTAGTAAGCCGCAGTAAGTAGGGACAAGCTGACTCTTCCTGAATTCTGGGAGTGTCTCGAAACTACCTCTACAGCATCCTTGAGCAAGACCCAGTGCGTTCCCTAACACTTTGTGTCTAAAGGGGTTTAGGGGTTAGGGTATAAGGTTTAGGGTTTAGTGCTTTGGGGTCTAGGGTTCCCCATTTTAAGAATACACCTCCCCATGCTAACATGAAGGAGACATTCTTGCCACATTCTTGGACCATTCCATTAAGGAGGACTCATACTTGGAGGGTCATGGGGGCTTAGCAAGTCGGTTGAACATGGGGATCACTTGGGCTGTGATATCATAGCTTTTAGGGGTCATTACCCTATTCTACAAGTAGAGGAAGCTGGGGATCGACTTGGGCCCCTGAACCCTAAACCCGGGGAGATTGTCGGGGCCAAGCCTCAAAGAAAAGTCGTAGCCTTGGGGACCCTGAGCATGTATAGGGACTACATAGGCAATCTTGGCATTCCCACCTCAGGTCTTTGATCTCTTGAAAGGCCGCGAAAAACCACACCCGATAGAGGAGACCTCGGGAAGGAGAGACCAAACCTCTGCACTCAAAAACTTTTTGCCGGTGCGTTGCTTCTGTAGCGTTTTTAGGGCAATTGAACCTAAAACCGGACATCTCACTTTGCCAGCCAGTCATACACGAAAGAGCTGCCATTCTGTGCTGATGGATACTGAAAATCCTGTATGACCCTAAGTACCTCCTGCCGTGGGAACCAGGGTATTGCAGCATACGTAGGTCATGCAGCATTATTGGTATCAAGAGTACGACTCTCATAGCAGGCCTTTTCAAACCTTGCGGCCCTAATCAAGGTGTCAATTGTGCTTCGGCATCCTGTATTTGAGTAGTTACAAACATGGGATTCCAATTATTGGAACAGCTCCCAGATATTTCCAAGCCTGATTTCGTGCCTTCCCACTGCCCATCCGAAGTAAACCGCATTGGAATTCTAAATTATCCCATTGAGAACCCCTCCAACCTCCGATTTACCCGTCGAATTGTGGTCCCTTTCTGGCTGTTCTCATGAGGCCTGTAAAAGCTACGCCGCCTAAGAAACAACCATCTTGACGAAGCGCCACGTCATGGCTTTGTTTGAGTGCTGCACTGGCGGGACGCCTAGATTCTTGAAGCCCACCCAACCTGGGGGTATAGGATGTCTGGTTATATTGGGATAATGGAACTATAGGGATATAGGGTCATATAGGGGGTATATAGGCGTCATGGGGTGTATATCGGGATTATATATTGGGATTATGGAAAGAACATGGAAACTACATTTTCTAAGTTGCTGTTAAGGAACTTAGATTAAATGAGTCCCTGTAGTAAGGAAGCCCATTATGGTAACGTAGTTTAAATTGCTTAACAGCAACCCAGTTTATAGAGGTCAGGAATTTGGTTCAGGTCTCAGGCTTGGGTTTCTGGTTGAGTATCTATAGGGGGCTATATAGGGATAATGGAAAAGAACATTGAAACTATAGTGCTTATAGGGGTTACACAGGGGTTCATGGTATAGGGCTCAGGTTTAGGCTTTTGTTCTCCGGAGGCAACATTCGGTCCAATGAGCAAACTTCTCATGATGTTTAAGAATCGCACGTTGCTTCAGGAGCACCATGCAAGACGCTTGGGGCATTCGACGTAGAGGGTGAAAAGCTTTGGGGTTCAGTCTCGAAGGCTCAAGTCCAGAATGTACTTACCAGGTGAGTACCCCCATGTTGAGCTCAGATAAGGTTTATCCGCCGACCTTGGGGGGCGTGTTGGATGGTTGCCGAAGGCGGAGAGGGTGAAAACCCTCTTCCTTTCTCCCTTACAGCCCCAAAACGCGGGGGGGGGGTG